ATGTAGACACCATCCAATTAGACCCCCAACAGTGAGAAGAAGGCCATGTCGACCTCCAATTAGTGGAAGGAGAGAAGAGGATAAAGCAGGTCCGTCACACCGTGCCCCACTGGAATGTAAGACAGTCACGTGTTCCATTTATGGTGTATTTGGTCACAATAGAAGGAACTGATGTGCCTCTCCCCCCAGTGCCAATAATACAACTATAGAGGTAATAATACTATCTAAGCAAGAATCCTTATCTTGTTCTAACATTGGCACTGTATTTATTTAGGTACAAAGATTCCTTTTGAAATTACAAATGTTGAGACCTGGTCCTGCCCAACTTGAACCTGATTGAACAATTAAAAGGAAAATTTTACTTGTGAGAAGAGGGGGTGCAACTTCCACAGCATTGGGTTCCTCAACTATAGCCACTCCAATCCATTCAACACATGAAGTTTGGTCTCCATCAGGAGCAGTTGGTGGTCATAACATGTCTAGTGGTACAAGAGGAAGATCTCTAAATTCAAGTAAGGGTGATAAAGTGAGATAGAACCACCAAAACATACTAGGTCATCCATTAACCAAACGGGTTTGCCATTCAAGCTTAATTTGTATTAAAGTTAATCCATTCATGTTTAATTGTTGATATGAGCTTTATCAAATTGACTAACTCTACTTTCCTTTATTGTAGTATGGATAACCTAGGAGGGGTGGCAGGGGAAGGTTGCAACATTCACACATTACCCTATTAGACAGTGTATGCCTTTACCTCCAATCAGCATGATGTACATTATGACATTTATTGTAAATGAATAAAGTACATATTTGATTCATGTTATTATGGTGTGTTTCTGTGTAATATCTTAAACTGAACACATATGAGACACGTGTTAGTTTAGAATCTTCACAGTCGTCGGATAGATCTGGGGAGATTTATCCTGTCAAGGCTGACACTGATGTACTACCAAGTTGGTTGGGGTGGCTTGTCTCAGCTGTCAGGGTGAGACCTGAGGTACATGCAATGTGGGTTTTCTTGAAATCCTGAACCGGACCAAAATTCCAATATTGCCCTAGACCTTGGAGATAGATGGGCAAAACTGGAATGTTATACCTGACCCCTAGACTCGATTATGATACTACACTAAGTGTCGGATTGGGCTGTCTTTGATATGCTAATCAGTGAGATCCTTAGAGGGGGTCAAAACCTGGGTATGTTGGAACAGTCCGAGAATTCATCTGAGTGGGGTGATCATAGTGACAAGATGCTGCACTCTCTCTGGTGGAAACCTAAACTATCGACAGTTGATTTCAACCGTTGAAATTTGTTTTTGCAAAATATATTTATATAGAGATATACATATATGTTATGATTTCAAAATGTTTGCAAAAGATTTTAATTCCCGGGATTCATGTAAGTAGAGAGTGCAACACTGCACCTTATCGGGCAGTGTTTGATCATTATGGGCTGAGAGGTTAAGTGTAAAACCATTGAGGGTTATACCTAATGGGCTAATCTTGCATCTATCCACAGTCCTTGGGCCTTCATAAGATGGTTGGACCAAAGAACCATTTAGTTTAAATGTTGGGCCCATTAAGAGCCCATAGTGATGGACTTAGGGGTTCACTGTATTCAGTAGTGAATTCGGCCAAACCTTGTAGTAGAGGCTAGGCTGAACTCATGTGGCTGATGTGTAGATCAATGATAGGGTCCCACGCCATACAAAGAGAGCCAAGCTAGCCAACATTAAAGAGGAAGTGAGCCTGAAAGCTTAATGGGCCTAAAAACCCATTTCGAACTGGGTTAATTAGATTAACTAAATAGAGGCAAATCTGGGATTTGGATCAGCAGATAAGATAAGGGATTATCCCTATTCACTTAAAGAGTTCAGATCCAAATAAAGATTTGGATCAAAGGAACTCCTAATTTGATTAGGAAGGCAGATCTTTATCTGCAGATAAGATAAGTGATTATCCTTATCACTTAAAGAGTCCAGATCCAAATAAAAGATTTAGATCAAGAAACTCCTAGAAATTAGGAAATTGTCTTTTTAAGGCTATAAATAAGAGAGCAGGGGGAACCTTAAATTCACACTCACTCAATACAGAGAGAAGACAACTCAGTTAGACTAATCTTTCCTTCAGCTCTTTTTCCTCCTGCTCTTGCCACCCTACCTTGTTCGATCTCCAGTTCTTGGATTTGATCAAGATTCCATCTTGATATTGTTTCTTGCCAGAAGAAACAATTTAGAAGTTGTGCTCACTATCCCATTCGATTCTTGTTGAAGAATCACTAATTCTTGGTGAAGAACTATCTGTTGATCCTGCATCATCCCAAGCTGTGTCATCTTCAGTGGATGGAGGATTTAGTACATTCTTTGATCGTGAATACCTACATTGGGAGGAGCATTCTTGCGTGCATTCCGTATCAGGTATATCCCTCCCTAATTTTGGTTTTAAATTTGGTTTGGTTTGGTTACAAGAACGAACATTGAAAATGCAATTTTCTAAATTGGAAATAGGATTCCCAAATGGAAGTAAAGAAATTTTTGAATTTTCGCCCAACCTTCCTGCTGGGTTCGGCCATCTATCTGATGGATCTCCCATCCCTTCATACCCCACTAGGAAAACAAGTAGGGATACTTTGCATTCACCCCACAACCCAACCCAACATTTTGATTATATGTTATGTCAATAGGATTTCATTTTTTTACCATTTTTTCCACTTAATGTTTTTAGGCTAAAGAACATAGTAACCAAGAAATCAAATACTCCCAGCCTTGATACTTTACTTAATGACATTGATCTCTCTAATGACAGTCAAATTTCTTACCTACACAATTACATTGATTTATTTGAGTGGTGGCACACATGACCATCTTTTTGGTATAATTGATACCGAGTTTAGACACTCTCATGAACACATAATCACAATCTTTTTGAACTTTTTTTTGTATGCTTTAATGCCACAAACCACAAGTAGTGGTTGTGAAGTGAGTAGACCATAGGATTGACAGTAGTCACTGTCTAATATGGATGTCTAACTAATGATCCACACCACAAACTCTTTTTTTTGGTATAGAATATTATACTAACTGGTGTTTGGATGATATATATGGATGATGATACACACTTTCACTATGTACTGATTATTGTACTGAAATACATAGAACACTTTGACTATGGATAATGATACACACCACAGACTTTATAAAGTCAGATATTATTTGCTCTAGATATCCGAGTTATTGTATGATGAGCAAGTGCTAGTTATGGAACCCATGGTTCAATCGAATGAACCTATAGAGCCAAATATTATTTGATCTATATATCTGAGATATTGTATGATCAACATGTGTTATTGTATGATTAACAAGTTATAATTTTGGTCCTAACCTCATGAAATGGTTGGGTTCTGATTTTGAACATGTGTTATCTAATCCGTATACTTGATTCTAGGGGTGTTAATTGGACTAGATTAGGTCCAATCCGGTTCAGTCCAATGTGAGTTTATTATAAATGGATTTGGTCTAATCCAATCCAATGCATATTTTGGACTATTTTGGATCGGTCCAGAGACTGTTCAATCTGTTCAAATTCCTGTTAATTTAGTTTGGTTTCAACTCCCATTGACACCTATGTTTTTATCTTCTATAAATGGACCTGATATTGGCTCAATTCAATATAAATTTATTATGGATGGACCAGGTCCAATCCAATATGTCATATTAATCCGTCCAATCCATCAAATTCAATATGTCTTATTGGTCCGTCCAATCCATCCAGATGGATTTTAATTTGGATGAAACCCAACCCAAAAGCGGTCCATTGACATCCCTACTTGATTCCAATTTCCTCAATGAATCCTAATTAGGCACCCTTAAACATGATACCTATTTCCTCAATGAACCCAATTAGGCACCCTTGAATTGGATGCCATTTCCTTAATGAACCCCAATCAGGCATTTGTGAACCTAATGACAAATTTTCATCAATGAACCCCACATGTTGCATACTTGCATAACAGTAGATTTTTTGAATACGGCGATGTTTTTATGATTCTCAGAAACCTAAAGCGCCGTTTTTATAGTTTACTCAAACAAAAAAACCCCGACCCGCCCACCTCTGAACATGTTTTCCCGTTTTCTTTTTCCATGAAGACTAAAATGGGTGGTGCCTCTGTCCGCACGTGAGACAAGACGCTTTCGGTTTCACTGTAGGTAGGTAATTAGGTGAGAACATTTTCCTATTGAAAATATGATATACAAAGGAATAGATTCCAATCCGACACCCAAAAAATCACTCTCTCCACACGTATCGAGGTCTCAACAGAATTCTTGTAGTTAGGGCTCAGATCTCACTAAAAACTTTGCCCAACGCAATCACGAGACGTCAGAGTCAGTGATGCATTGTTTCTACAAATGTAAACTGTAATGACCACCATAGGGTCGTATCTACCTACCACGTGATTCGGAATCGTTTCCGAGATAAGCCCCACTCCATTTGAATCTTGCCTGGACCCCACCCACACCGGAATCTCTCGGCTCTCGACAATTTTCACCGAATGATACGATGCTATGGAACACCTCTCCCTTCGGATCCGATCATCCGAATATGAATTTCTTTGGTCCCACCACTTATTCCATTCCTATGAATTACCTCGTGAGACCCGCCTAAGAATATAATTCTTCGTGGTCCTCCTGCCAAAATTCCAGATATTTGCCACCCAGACAATCCTAACCGTTCGATACATTGATCGAACTGTCCGAAACAAATGATAGAGTGGTCCACTCAGTGGTCTCGGTCTCGGACCTCTGAGTTCAGATCTCCGCCCCACAGCACATTTTCGCCGTGTATTAGGAACATCTCTCGATGATAATATCAACTCCGATGATGTCATCATCGGGAGATGTTCTCAATACACGGCGGAGATGTGCTGTTGTAGAGTATTGTGGGGCGGCCGGAGATGTGACCTCCGGACCTCTCAGCTCTCGGTAACAACAACGCTGCGGAGTGCGGAGAGAGAAGAGAGAGAGAGAGCGTTTGAAGTTTGAACAGTTTTGTCCTGGCTGTAAGAGAGTACACACGGCCAGTTATTAATAGAAACTTATGGCGGGGCTTTTGCTCCGCTCAGCACTGCGTCTCCTCCCCGACTGGAACGAGAGACGAGCAAAGCTCTGTTTGAGCGAATTAACCGCCTTTGCGTGCCCATTGCACAAGCTTTTGGAGGTTGTTTCCATTTTTTATTCAAGTATTCTCCTTCTCATTTGCTTTCAGATTTTGATTTCTCAATAAAACTCCCTCTTTTAATTTCTTCCTCATGATCTTCCGTTTCACTCAGTCGACCTTTGCCGTTTTCTCGGAAACGAGAAGATCCTTGTCTTGATCATTTGTTGTATTTGGTTTACGGTTTACGAATTACGACTACAATTTACTGATTTTAGCTGCTTTTGATTCAGACTAGTATTTTTGCATTTGAGTTCTTCTTGGAAGCATTCGTTTTGAAAAAAAAATGCTTTTGGGGAGCTTGAGGAGGCGGTGAAGAAGCAGATCTAGAGACTTCTATAAGATTTCTGGGTTTTTACCTTAGACGGAGGAGTCATGGTTGGGAGTATCGAAGTTGATGTGATGTCTGATAAATTGAATGGAAAGGTTGTCCCGTTACCTGAGGAATTTGATCCAATAGCGATGATTTCGGATCCTTTGCCACCACAGGTGGTTGAGAATGGAGGGATCGTCGATGACGAAGCTGAAGATAAGCAGAACAGAGAGATTGTATTGGGAAAGAATGTGCACACAATGTGCCTTGCCGTCACGGAGCCTGACGCAGACGATGAGGTAACGGGAGAGAGGGAAGCTTATATGGCCAGTGTATTGGCAAGGTACCGAAGGTCCTTAATTGAAAGGACGAAGCACCATTTGGGTATGACAACCATCTCCTTAATTTCTCTTTCAGATGATTCATTATACTTTTGCTGTATTGGTAATTTCTTCCTCCATATTTGTCTGCTTGAGCCTTGCAGTTGCTATTCGATTCTATTATTAACTCGTGATGGTGAATTCTCACATCATTACCAATTTAAAGAATGCACCGGTAGCAATAAACTTCAACACTAGTAACCATTGGGAAAAGTAAAAACATTAACCTGTTTATTCTTGTTAATTTTGTGTTACATTTATTTTTGCGGTTACCTAAAAGTGGTATTTATGATTGAGTTCAGTTCCCTTTATTATTTGAAGACAAAATCTTAACCTGTTTGTTCGAGAATGTTTTAGAACAACTTTCCATCATCACATCCTTGAAAGTTTTTTCACAGTTCTCTTCAATTTTCTCTATAGGGGTTTACATCGTCTCTGTGTAAGATGTATTTCATATCTTTAATCTGTAAGTTTATTAAATGTGTAAAACCCTTTTCTTTACGTGTAACATCATTTCTTCTTATAGAGTGAGTACTTAAGTATGTACTTTAGATATGATCAGTCTAATTTCATACTTGTAAATGAGGTGTTATTGATAATGGAATGGAAGGGCAGATTCATGCTGCTGGACCAGTGTATGTGGGATAAGGTAGATTATTATCTAGTGGGTGATATCTGAGATGTGAGATATGGGAGATATACCTGTACAAGAATCAAATTATTTGGAAAACAAGTAAAAAGCAAGAGAAAAAGAAGAAGAACTTGGAGACATTTTTAACCATCAAGTTCCTTTTTTTTATTGATAAATGATGTAGATATTAAATTCTTTGCAGGTTATCCTTATAACCTGGACTTTGACTACGGTGCTCTGGCTCAGTTGCAACATTTTTCCATCAACAATCTCGGTGATCCCTTTATTGAAAGCAACTATGGAGTCCATTCCAGACAGTTCGAGGTTGGTGTTTTAGATTGGTTTGCTCGTCTCTGGGAATTAGAGAAGAATGAATACTGGGGATACATTACAAATTGTGGTACAGAAGGCAATCTTCACGGTATCCTGGTCGGGTTAGTAGTTCAAAGCTTATATTGATTGATGAATATCTTTATGAAATGATCAAGATAGTGGTAATTTATACTTTGAGAAGCTGAAAGAAACATGGTTTAACTGTACAGGAGAGAAGTATTCCCAGATGGCATTTTATACGCATCACGAGAGTCGCATTATTCAGTCTTTAAAGCAGCACGAATGTACAGAATGGAATGCATTAAGGTTGAGACTCTGGCCTCTGGTGAGATTGATTGCACTGATTTCAAAGCTAAACTCCTTCCCAACAAAGACAAGCCATCTATTGTCAATGTTAACATAGGTATGTCTTGCTCTATCCCACTTCCCTTCAGTATCACTGTGTGATACATGAATGAATCTTTTGATTCTTCCCAAAATTTACAGGAACAACGGTCAAAGGAGCTGTCGATGATCTTGATCTGGTTATAAAAACCCTTGAAGACACTGGATTTACACATGACCGGTTCTACATCCACTGTGATGGGGCATTGTTTGGGTTGATGATACCTTTTGTTAAACGCGTAAGCCCACATTCTCTTTTTCATGGTTCTACTTCCATTGTGTTCAAAAGAGGGATAATTGTGTCGAGCTGAGAGTTTCTCATTTACATAAATGGCAATGGAAAGCATGAATCATGAGCCACTTTTATGGGTTTCTTGATCCACCAATGCCAATTTGGCTTGCTCTTATTGTGTTCAGTATTTCATAAAATTCTTATCCTCATCATCCAAAAGCATGCCTGAGGGTCCCTTGCGTGGAGTGATTTTAACTAATAACATATTTGTGGTTTCATCCAAGATCAAAATATCAGTATGGGGTGTATTGTATCAATATTGGTGGACCCCAGAACACATAGATACAACAATACAACAAAATATTAGGGGTTTTAATAGTTGGGGGGTTTATAAGCATCCTAATAATGCTTATAAAATTAAAAAAAAATGGGTATTAATCATATCAATACACATTGATACCCACTTTAGGGTATTGGGCATATCAATATTTTGACCCTTGGTTTCATCCCATCCCATCTCCCCCTCTTTAGTTGTTTTATCCCTTCTTTTCATCATATATGCAACTCACCGACTCATGTTTTATCCCGTTTCTTTGCTTGCATTTCTCTATTTTCTGTGGCAAACAGGCACCAAAAGTCACGTTTAAGAAGCCCATTGGGAGTGTTAGCGTTTCTGGGCACAAGTTCGTGGGATGCCCAATGCCGTGTGGTGTTCAAATAACCAGACTGGAGCACATAAACGCCCTCTCAAGGAATGTTGAATACCTTGCATCCCGAGATGCCACCATTATGGGTAGCCGTAATGGTCATGCTCCAATCTTCCTCTGGTACACATTGAACCGTAAAGGATACAGAGGTTTCCAGAAAGAAGTCCAGAAGTGCCTAAGAAATGCTCACTACTTGAAAGACCGCCTTCGATCTGCAGGGATTGGTGCCATGCTTAACGAGCTCAGTAGCACAGTTGTCTTTGAGCGGCCACAAGACGAGGAATTTGTTCGCCGCTGGCAGCTTGCTTGTCAGGGTAGCATTGCTCATGTTGTGGTGATGCCAAACATCACCGTCGAGAAGCTTGATGACTTCTTAAATGAATTAATTGGGAAACGCTCAACCTGGTTCCAAGATGGAAAGTCTCAACCTCCTTGTATTGCAGCAGACGTAGGGAAGGAAAATTGTGCTTGTGTCATGCACAAGTGATTCGTTAGTCCTGCAAATGTTATTCGCATTCTAGTGTTACATTTCTGTAGATAAACATTTTGGGTTTAATAGTAAGTAGCTAAAAAGATTAGATCTGTTCTCGCCTTTGTTTATTCTTGTACTTGTATTTTCCCCATATTCCTGTCTCATGAATGTTTTATTCAGCTGCAACTGAATTCTTGTTCCTGGGCATCCAGACGATTTTTGGCTGGATGGAATCATCTATTTGCAGTTGTTAGAATGTCAAAGGTTTACAAAAAAGAAAAAGAAACCGACAAGTAACAATTACACATGGTAGGGAAGCTGGAAATGCAGAAAAGCCGTCCATGCCAGGGGATCTATGACACACACACACATGGTGGGGACAGGACTTGCTACATAATGGGACCCATGTATGAGAATTGAGATCTCTCACTAATATTGAGAAGTGGCCGCCTACTGGCCTTGGCACACATGCTGCGCCTAACAACCAATCTCATCCTTTGCACGTGAAAAAGTCTGCAGAATTAACAGGTAGGTCTACGTTACGACTTACGGGTTAGAAGTGGCTGGGGTACGCATGCAACGTCTAACCAATCTCATCCATTTCGAGGCACATTCTAAGACATGGCGCATAGAAATTAGAAAGTTAGACACCACATTCCAATTGATGGCCCGGCCCTTCCCAATTTCTGGTCTGAGCAGGAAATGCTAGTCTATGTTATGCAAATTCGGACCACCAACTTCAAAGTCCAGAGCAGTCCTTATTGAAAACCATGGGAATATTAACTGTATTATCGCTTCCCGAGCAGATTCATGGATTATCTTAACCAGAACAGAACAGAGCAAACAAATCAGGGCCGGCTTGGGAGGGTTTCAAAATTGATTGAGTGGCATTGACTGATCCTCTTGGAAGAAACTACCAAAATTAGCTTTACTAAAAGGTTGATTTCTCATATCAATGCAAGCATTTTTGGGCTTTCCAGGATTTTTCTTTTTTTTTTTTTTTTTGCCAAACATAGATACAGCTTTCTTTGTGGGGCCTACCTTATCGTTTTATGAAAGCCCTCCCAAACAGGCACTCAGTAGTCACTATCTCAAGATTCAGTTGGTCACTTACGGGGTACTGTTATTTCTCGTTTGTTAGTTTTTCTATAACTTCTGCCTTGTGAATATGTATATGTTATGAGCCAGCTAGTTGCCAAACTTGCCAGCATATCTTTAATCTAGCTCAATGTAGGAGCAAAAAGCATCACAAAGAAATTGTTGCCTAGCAACAGTGCAAGACAGGATCCTAGGGTGAACTTCATTACAATTATGAAGAATAGAACCTTTAACTCTCAAGGAAACAGCAAATAACTAACACTTTATTTATAATCATATTCTAACAATAGAGTCTAATTATGTCATGAATATCTCTGTTCGAAGTCAAACTACAATCATCCATTGATTAGATAGTTCATCAGAACCTAATTGCTCTACAACATGGTTCATCAGAACCTAATTGATCTGAGTACTCTTCTTTTTCCCTTTTGCTGAATAAGCACTCTTTACAACCTTACAAGCAGCAAATATGCATAATACATATTACATGTATATACAAGAACACGATTGGAACAATTTACCTTCGAGTTGTCAAATCCCAATTCATCATGAAAACGAGCCTCTGCCAACAAATTTTAAGCACTTGGATGGATATCAAACCCCTCGATGGAAGTCCATGGAAACATGTTGAGGATCTTGTGGCTGCCCCCCCAGGGTGTGGCCATTGGCAAGTGGCTGAGATGTGTGGAGCTGCTGCTGCTGCTGCGGCTGTGGTTGCTGTTGCTGAGGAGTCTGATGGCTGCCAAAATGACTCAAAGACTGGGACTGGGAGAAATAAGGCGGAGGCAGTCCCCTGCTGAAAGTGTTGCCATTGACAGCCGGGACTTGGCCAGTAGCTATCCTAAGCCTCTGTACTTCTTCTCTCAAGGCTTCATTTAAAGCTGTTGAAGTAATAAAGATGTCTGTGTTCAACCTTTCGCTTGTTTGTAAATAACCCACAAAATAGGGGGTGTTTGGATCTGTGGTGTTGCTTTGTGTTGCATTCCTGTTAAAATTCCAGTTAGGCACCATGTAGGCGTTTTTACTTTTACCTTCCAAAGAATCCTGTTGGATTGGGCAGAATCAAGTACAAATGTCTGTACTACTCTTTGCATAGAGTAATGTGCATGGGGGTGTTGGGGGCAGCTTCAAAAAGATGTGTCCCTCAACCGAGGAGAATTTCCACATCGGGTGTGTTATGTGGCATCTAGTACTGCAGTAAATTATTATGCATTGTATTATGAGAAAAAAAAATTCACTCATTCCATTAAGGACACAAGTGTCCTGAGTACCTTACTGATGAACACGTAACTAGAATGGTATTAAAGTAAGGAATTTCTTTTTCAAGTTGACGTGAGAACAGCTTATGTGTTCACAAGTGAAGTACTCAGGAAATGAGTGAAGATAAACTCTGTATTATGTGCCAAAACATCTCACTCCTGAAATCCAATGCAAAAAGTCAAGTACAAACACCAAGACTAACACCACAGTACCAAACACCGTATAGGGGCAGAGAAAAATAAAAACTGGTAAAGTCATCTATGCAAATGAAATTTTCTGCAAATAATACATAATAGAAACGCCTTCCTATACCACACATACCATCACGAAGTTGTGCTTGCTGCTCCATGGCCTGCAACCGCAATTTGAGTTCCTTGTTCTCAGTAGTCAAACCATTGGTGTCTCTCTGCATATAGGAAGGAAATTATGACTTGGTTCCATCTCCCTTTGGAAAGCTGAGAGAATTTCCACAACTTCAAGGTTGAATTATGAAGCAACATTTACCCTCAACAGTAGTGGTATTTCCAGGAGAATAAAGTATTAAAGTGTCTTCATTAAAATAAAGTATCATGTCATTTTTTTTTTGGTATTAAAACATCATGTAGTTAAGCTCAGGAGAAAACACCTCTAGAAGAAAGCGGGTAAACTATGAAATGAACAGACAAGAAAGAGTGTTTGATGTGGCATATTCAATAAGACCCAAGGTTTTGTGCATCAGGCATTTCAAATGGCCATTAAACATAGATTAAAAATTATTTAGAATATAAGAGTTGAATCAGGACATCCATACAAAAGGCATTAACCCTTAAAAGTGGCCAAATGTCCTAATTTTGTGTATTTAGCATTTTGGTACCTCGAAGATATGATATGATATGCCTGATACGGAGCGTATCTCATCAATACTTTGAACCTTGGTAAGACTTAGTATCATAATAGAAAACCATAGGGTAAAGAAATTCTAATAATAGACCTTAGGGAAAAGAACAAAAGCTCCTAATTCGTAGCGTCGTATGTATTAGGTTTATATATTATTGTATATTAAGTTTTCTTTTTTCTTTTCAGAAGTGTAGCCTCACCTCATTCAGGTTCACATCTCAGACTGCACCTTAGGCTCTAGGAAAGCCTTGCAGTTTAGTTGCATTCTCAGTTTCTCAATGTTAAAAATTGCTTTAACATCTAGTTAGCAATCACAATGTGTTGTAAAAAATTATGTCAAGCAACCACCCTCTAGAACAATGTCATGGACAAAGTTTATGCAGTTAATGACCATTTTCCTCTATATGAGAGCTCTAGTTAATAATTGATATCCCCTCAGTTAATGATTGAGGTGTAGCTAAGAAACTTGTTCACAAAATTTCTCTTAAAACCCCCAATTGTTTTTGTTGCCCACTCCAAAACAATATCAACATCTAACATAAACTAAGATACCCTTTAACATAAGAATATGTCAAGTTAAATGAAATTTCCCTTGGTCTTCAGCATGGCTGGAGAAAAACACCAGGGCTCCAACATCCAAAAGTTACAAAGACAGTAGTAGTGGTGTTGTCAACAACAACCATAAATGAATAACAACAGACATTCAACAAGGCATTTGCAAGCTTCCAGTCAATTTGATATTTGAACAACCTACCCATTTAAAATGGAACCTTTGAAGAACATTAAATATGCAGGAATCTATGCACCATGTCATGATCCTATGGTTAATTGTATTTCTTCTGATACATAAATGTTTGCATTTTAGATATTTTTCATGAACTTTATAGTTTTAGAACATATTATGCGTTCAAGTTGGTGAGGAGGTTTTGAATGATACTTAAGTACTTTTTAGATCATTTTGACATAAAGATGGCAAGGAGTGAGATTTGGTACAACTTGGAGGCACCTGATCCTAGTGAATTGAGTACCATCCTAACTTAATTCACTATGAATAGGGCAAGATGAGAGATGAGTAGAAGTTATTATTGCATGGATCTACTTTGAATTATTGCTACATAATTAATACAATATTGAAATAGTGCAAGAGGAATAAAATTGACATTTTTTATCCTGATTTCTTTCCTTTTCCTTGGTCAGATGTTGGGGCAGTATGCAAGTGTTTAATGCATGACCTGAAAACACAGATGCCTTCTATTAGGAGTCTGCAGCCAAGGTGCCACAACCCATTTTGCTGGCCTTCTTTACCAAAACTAGGGGTGACAACTTAAAATCATGATTTGATCTGTCATGCTAATTTAGTTCACGAAAAAAATTTAAAAGGTTCCAAGAGGTTATCATACATTAAAAACTTCTGTTTATTTCTAAAAATCATGGTTGAAATAACACTTTGTTTTTTATCCAATATTCTCATTAGTAAAAACTCCCCCTTAAGAAAATTACATTTCATTCTGAAATTTTGGAATTTTATTTAAATGTGAAAGCATAATCAAATGTATGGGTGCAAGTCGGGCGGGTTGGCCTGCGTTTCTGGTCAACCCGGACCTGGCCCTAAAATTTGGGCTTAAGGCCCGAGTCCGAGGTCAAGCCCAATTTTCCCAACCCGAGCCCAGCCCCGCACTGTAATTTGATGCACTCAGGTTGGGCTCCGGCCAGGGCCAGGCTCGGGTTGGTCAATGAACCCACTCTAATATTATACATATATGTATTTATGAGAATATGTATACATATATTTATGTATATATGTATGCAAAATATGTATGTATGTATATATATATATATAGGCTCGGGCTGGGTTCAGGCTACCTAAGGGCTAGGCCCAGCCCGAGGACTGAAAGTCCAAGCCAAACCCATGTAAAATTTCGGGCTGGGCCGGTTCGGGCTCTTTTAGGGAAACAAAAAGTAGATAGATGTACCTTTCTATAATTTCATGATAAATAAACCATTTGTCTTTCCATAGTTGGTAATTGATTCACTGGAAAAACATTTGTAAGAAAAAATCATACCATCAATATCACAAACATTAGTTAATGCATCATCCTGAAGAATTTAAAACTAAATGTGCAGGAAAGTTTTCAGATAGGAGCTTAAGTGAAAGGTGGCGATTAATGGACACTAGGGCGAACCTTGAGAAGAAAATCTGACAATATAAGTGAAATGAATAAGCAGGACCAAAGGTGTTTCAATTGTATCAATGGGCAATTTCTGAAGAGAGGACCAAATGAATCGACCATACTCAATCAGACAATTGATCTTATAGAAGACCAGGTTACATCATTTCTCTTAGACTTGTATACTACAGTGTATGGCACATTCCATTCTGGACAACAATTGCATTAATTTGGTGGATAAAGAAAAGAAATGAGCATAAAAGGCCTTGCACTCAAAATCAAACAAGTAGAGGATGAATACGTGGATCCAATTTGAACTAGTGTAAATCAAGCTCTGAGAACTGCTTCGGTGGAAGAACAGTCTAAAAGACTATCCCCCTCTCCAAGCCAGGCAGATCCTCGCCCATAAATAAGAGAAAACTAAATCTATCGATTTGTTTTTACCCCATCCATTTGAAATGAGGACTTACAATCTTGATATAAAGGACAACATTTTTTTATCAGCATTGATATAATGGACAACATTGTTAACATTATGAGAAATAACTCTCCAATTCAACTTGAAACAATAATTCTTCTGTCTTTCAGGACCAAGCTAGAATAATCTCCAGGTACGAGCTATAGAAGATAAAAACACATGTCTGCTGAATACTTCATACCTGTAGCATTGTAACTTGCGCTGAAAGAGTGGTAGCTTCTGTTTGAAGTGTTTGCACCTTCCTCTCTAGCTCGTTGGTGTAACGTATCTTCCTTTCTTTTGACCGTGCTGCAGATTGCCTGTTTGCAAGAATCCTATAACGTGGTACAACAGGAAGAAAACAAAACAAATCAAATTAGAATTCTCATTAGGGTTGCATCAATAGCGTAACAACAAAAACAGAAGACCCACAGTTCTCCCTTGCATGCTAGAACTCAATCTCTAACCCAACTAAATTAGGAGCACATAAAGGCCAATTGCAAAACTTCCACAGAATTCCTTCGCAGTCCAAATCCAAATATTCAGATTAAGTAAGCTAAACCTAAAATAAGGAAAAGACGAACTACCTGGAAAATCGTTATAACTATACAAGCAGACAAAGAAATCAGAACCCAAATCTGAGGCCGAAAAGAAGGAAACGGCCTAAACTTAAACAAAACTAGAGCAAGGTCAATGTTAAAAAATAAAATATCAAACCTTTTAGCTCTTTTTGGATCAATCAAAGACAGCTCGGCCAGCTTATCTGGTCCCATCGCCTTCTTCGTACTTTCCACGGACTCCACCTCAAATGAAGACGACGATCCATCCATTGAATAACTGTGCCTGTGCATCCTCTTCTCTGGAACCCCTTTCCCGCCAAATTTCTCCCCTTCCCCGCCAATCCCAACCGTTGACGGTTGAAACCCTAAACCCTCAAAAAAGTCGGCGTCCATGGACAAGCTCCTGAGATGACTAGCTCCCCCCAATCTTCCCTTCCCCTTGTCACCGGTGGATTCCTCTGATTTACCAGAATCAACAGGCATCGGAACTGCACCGYTGCCACGAGAATCGTTGTCTTCGGACATCGAAGGCAAATCCATGGCGGCAAGATTGAAATCGACATCTGGGTCGAACAGGATGTCGTCGGGGAACCGGAAGAAAGTCTCCGACTGGGCCCGGCGGTGATGGGACCCGCGCTGGGGAGTTTCCGGCATCTGATCGATGTCAACTACAGCAGAATATAGGCCGGAGAAAGGTTTCGCGGCGGCCCTATCGGTGAACTGGGTTTCCATTATGGACGTCTATGTGGGTGGTTGGGAGGAGGCTCGCGAGTTTTGGGGATTTACTGGACTTGTTTAACAACGACGGCATTGAATTCCAGAGAGATGAATCGAGTAAGAGACGATGTGGAATTTCTTTTTAAGGAAAATTCCTGACAAGTACCTATACTTTCGCTCGAGTGATAGTTTTGGTCTCCACTCTCCACACTTTAATGCGATAATTTAATGTTCGAACTTTCAACTAATATCCCCATGACAATTCAATACCTGCCGTTAATCAATCTATTAATTTAAAAATATCATCTAATTCTTTTTATCAATCATTCAAATATTGATAATAAAATAAATAATTTTAAATTTTAAATTTTTTAAATAATCATTAATTTTTTCTACATACTACACACTACCTATAAATAAAAAGAAAAGGGAAAATTTCACTTTAATGTTTTAAACTTTGGAGATAATGTTAAATTAGTACCCAAACTTTAAAATATGCTATTACAGTACTTAAATTTTTGAAAATTATCAATTTGGTCATGAATTGTTAACTGATGTTAATAAAATGACACAAATACTCTTAATAGTTCATAGAACGGTAGAAGAAAGAAAATGATTTTTTTAAATACCAAAAGCACCCTTTTTAAACTATAATCGAGAGCCTTTGTTAACAACAAACACCAAAGGTCCTCCTGTTCAAAGTTGCAGCGTTTGCCCGATGAATTCATCTTGGAAATTGTTACTGAAGAGAAATCCACTTTATTTGAAAAGTACAAAGTCTTGTTACTAGAACGAGGGGGCACAGCTATGTAGCCCTAAACCTTATGACCCAAGAAGGGTTCTTGTCTGCATTCCCCCAAATCGATGCCCATGAATCCCCTGTTCAAATTTTCATTTCAGAAGATGGCGTGTCTAATGCCAGAGGCAAAGTTCTTAGGGAAGCAGCGCCATTAATGCCGATTTCTACAGCCGAGTAGAGACACAATGCCCGGCCAAAGACATAGAATGCCGAATCATCAAAACAAAATTGGTGGTTCCATCTTTGACAACTCCGGCTAGAGACATAGCACCGCAGATTAATTGGCAGAGTAGCCATTTTCTTTTTCAATCCTCTGTATATTTCAGGCATGTCAAAGTACAGTATCTAATTTCTTATTAAACAATGAGTTTACATTTAAGAACAAACTCTTTTCTCCTGTCTCTCAGTTTGTAAAAACGTGAATGCATACATTTTCCTTCACGATGTCTTTCACCAGCTCAATCCCCTTCCATGTCCACCAGAATCTTCAAGAAATACACCGTATGTGGCAGAGGAGAGGTGATACTATCTGCCGGGGCTATTGGAAGTCCGCAGCTTTTGCTACAGTGATGGAGGCGACACTCGGTCTACACAGTTCAGCTTCAACCAACCGTATATTTTGGAGAAATGTTAAACCGGTTTGAGAAGTGTAAAATGGTCTTCAATCATGCTTAAAGGGTATATCGGATTTATTAAAAATTTAATCCATCATATGTCATCACACCACTAATAAATTTAACGGAATATTAACGATAGGGACCGAAAGGATAGTTTTCAAAATTTGAATACTACAATAGTATAATAATACATTTTAAAGTTTGGGTACTAACTTCACATTATTTAGAATATTAAAATAAAATTTCCAAAAAAAAATTACGTATCATTTGGAGTCGGTGGGCCCCCTACTCCTACTGTGTATTTGTGTGGGTCTTACATTCACGATATAATCGCATAAGCAAGAGATCATCCGCCTGGATGGAATCAGAATCAATTGACAGATGTGAGCCCCACTTCCATAACGTATGCTGGGTAGTGACTAGTGAGTACATTTTACGTAGTAGAGACCAGTGACTAGAGAGAGACATGCTGTTCAAGAAAGGAAATAATATATTTTTTTCTTTTTTGCCTTTTTTAAAAGTTTTTCTAGTTTGCAAAATTTGCCAACCAATGAGAGGCGCCTCACATGGTATGGGGTAGCATCAAACGTCAATTTAAAATTGACAAGGAGCCGATGATCCCGTCCGTAGCTAAGAGCCTTCATGAATGAGATTGAATGAGATGAGATGATCCATCGGCGCTCCACAGCATCTCCCATCCGTGTATTGAGAATATTGTCTCATGATAAATACGGGAGACCGTACATGTGGGGCGCCAATGATATCTCACGAACGAGAAGGCGCGGAATCAAATCCACACGACCGTCAGTGATGAATTCGGATCCTCAGACCAACTTCATGAGGCCCGCTGAACAGGTAAACTTTGCTCCTTCATGAGTGCTATGTGAGTATGTGTATATGAGAAGCAGATCCAGAACCCGTGTCGGGGCTAGAGGCTGATTAGACCCGCATAAGTTGCCACGTGTATCACAGTGAGGTGATGGTTGGATGTTCACTATTTACACATGCTGCTGAAGTAAATTGATTAAATTGCATATGAAAATGCAACGCGCCACAAGTTATGGGGCCCAATGGATCCTATTGAATGGGCCTAAACCCTAGAGAATATAAGGCAGTGGGCCTGGTTATACCCAACCCTTTTAATAGAATTCAAATGGTTCACAATTCTTCATGTAGTACTGGACCATCATGATTGGCCAATACTGTCAGAAGATTCTCATAAAGGATTGGGATTTAACAGGTGATAAGACTTTCTGGGTCTTGGGCTACAGGGCCCATTACCTGCCAAGATGTTTCGTATTTAGAATTTTGAAGTTCAAGACAGAGCGTACGGAATGGATAAGAAGAAAAATACTCAAATGATCTCTAACCGTTTACCAAAAATAAATGATCTCTAACCCTTTAGGCTTTGCATAAATACGAGTACTCTAAGAGCTGTAAAGCTTCTTACCAAATTAGGCTTTGCATAAATACATGGATCCGTATGGGCCAGCCCGAATCCGAAACACTGAAAACTGTTAACTGGGGCCAGCAAGAGTTGCAACCCTATCTCACATCCACCTCATATGATTTGCAGGTGTGCATTGGTAAGTGGTAACATTTTCATGAAAGAAAATATTTAATATGGGAAATATTTTCGATATGCAGCTGCAACGGTAACTCTTAAGATTTAAGATATAAAATATATAATTTAATCAAAGTTTAAATTAAACAGTTTATCTTGCCGTGGAATTAGAAAGCCAATAAAAATTTTGAATACACTACTCAAGCATGGGAATCCCGTTGTACATTGGGAATATCTCTCCATCAATTTAACATATATACGGGAGATATTCCTAATATGTGACTGGATGGTATGTACGCAAAACTTTTGCTTGCAAGGGATCCGGATTCCATTCCAATAACTAAGAAGAATTCAGCAAAACCCAAAATTTTAGTCTTCAATTTCAGTTAAACAGAAATTAGCAAAATTCAAAATCTCATCAAATTCAGCTAAGCAGAAGACTGATTTTTCCAAAGCCAGATATTCTGAAATTTACACCATTGTGTAAATGGATGGTTTATGAGGAGTTGAGATCTGTTCCCAACAAATACTCTTAATACTGTCCCAACAAACCATTATAATCGTACATCAAGAACATCTCCCCAAGAATGACAAGGGAGATGTTCCCAACACACAAAAATCAGATTAGCTGAACATGATATGGCTGTTCAGTGGGCTGTGAACAAATAATAATGCCCCATGCCGTAGGGGTGTCAATTGGAATGGATTTGGTCCAATCCAATCCAGTCCAATATGAATTCATTACAAATGGACCACGTCTAATCCAATCCAATGAATATTTTGGACCGGTCCAATTTAATGTCTGAACCATCCAATCCATTCAAATTCATTTTAATTTAGATTGGTTCCAATACAAACCTAATCCATTGACACCTAAATTCTTATCTTCTATCAATGGACCAGATATTAGCTTAATCCAACCCAATCCAATATAAAATTTATTATGGATGGACCAGGTCCAATCCAATCCAATCCAATAAATACTTTGGACCATTAAGTATGGACTCGTCCAATTCAATATGTCTTGTTGGTCCATTCAATCCATTCAAATTGATTTTGGTTTGTACAGAATCCAACCCAAAACTAGTCTATTGACACCCCTACCTATGCCAATGATAAAAGACATAGATCCATAGTGAGAAGTTAAGTCCCATATAAAACACTATCATTAGTTCCACAGCCCGTTGAACAGCTATTGGCCTATTACCTTCAGCAAAAATGAAAAAGATAAGATTGGGAAAACACAAAAAATAATAGCATGGCCCTATGTTTACCTCTTTTGTTATTTTTGGTTGGGGAGGAAGGGGGTACGTTAGGTCCACTAACCTTATCATGTAGTTACACGAATCTAATTAGATGCCTGGAGGGCCACTGTGTGAGTAATAAACAACAAGGATACATATTTCTATAGACATAATATCAACAATACGCATTTTTAATTTTCGGTTATTATCTGAAACTCCTTGTAACTTTTTGTTATCATTCCCTTACGCTCATCCCGGTTTTTGATGTGTAAAGTCAACCATGATATATACAATATCCACCATTATGATATTTTATGGACAAAACAATCTTCGCTGTTAATTAATTTTATATAATAAAAACTAGCGGGGATCCATGCACGGGATTTGTCAAAGAAAAGTAAAATAATGGAAACTAATAATTTAAGTAATTTGCTATAAAAGATAATTTAGTAATTTAGATTAATTATATTAATATTTTTTAATAAAAGCAATAAATTATTATTAATTATTTAATAAATAATTATTTTTTCATATTATCCGTTAGTACTCTATTTTATTTATTTTACTTTATCAATAATTAAATTAATTCATGTATTAATTTTTTTAGTCAATTAAATTAATCTAAGTCCAAACTCAAGGTTTAAAACTTTAGGTTAGGCTTTGGTTAATCCTCAATCTGATCCAACCCCTTAAGTTGCACTTCCAAGAGAAACGTGAAATTTATAATTGTACTGAATTAAATCTAAGCATAACCCATGCATGCATTATTTTTTGGTTTTTAACTATTTTTAAACAAAAATTATGAATATTGAACCTGAAGGAGCTATGGGGGTTGATAGTATATTAACAATTTTATAGGTTGTGTAGCCTAGCCCTGCCCACACCCTAAGCATAATAATATTTTTATGGGCTTGGTATATAAGGACAGGATTTCCCATGTTAATTATAAAACTATGGCAATGGGGTGGGGACCATACTTCCCATCCTCGATCCCAA